CTTGTGCGTGTGTTTGTGTGTGTGTGTGTGTTTGTGTGTGTGTGTGTTTGTGTGTTTTTGCGTGTTTGTGTGTTTGTGTGTGTGTGTGTGTTCGTGTGTCAACATGTCTGTGTGTCCGTGTGTCTGTGTCCGTGTCTGTCTGTGCGTGCTTCCGGGTGTCTCTGTGGGGGTCTGTTGTGTCTGTGTGTGTGTGTGTGTCTGTGTGTGTGTGTCTCTGTGTGTGTCTCTGTGTGTGTGTGTGTCTGCGCGTGTGTCTGTGTCTACGGGTGTCTGTGTTGTGTGTGTGTTGGTCAGCGCTTCCATTTACCGGTATGGGTGTGTCGTTTTTTGTAGGAGACTCCTCCAACGTGGTGATTGTCCTCTGGTTCCCTTTAAATCCCGGGTATCCTCAAAAAAAAGCAGACCCATATGATATCTTCAACAATCCAACAGGGGATCCCATGGTGCTACGCACCCATTCTCAAGTTGGACTGGGTATAGAAGCTGGTTTCTGGGTTGCCTACTATAGTGGCCTGCCTGGAATCCACTGGGTGGTGTTTTGAGCAGGAGGACCCTAAATGGAGGATGTTCTTCCTTTGTGGGTTTCCCTTTGAAACTTGTCTCGTGCCCCTTGGAACTTTTTGCAGAAGGGACACCAAAGGGAACACCGAAATCCCTTTCAGAGATCCTCCTGTGTTGACACATGCCCCCAAACAAAAAAGGGTTTCCCTCTTCCTTTCCCTGTAATTCAGCCAAGAAAAAAGAGGTACCCTCCAACACAACTAGCACACCGAAATCAACATCAAAATAAAGCTTGAGCATGAGGGCCGCGGCCCCTGTCAAAAATGCTCCTCAAGTCCCTGTGAACAGAATTATGAAAACATATAGTTCCCATGAGCCTCGATGGTGAACATGCCAACGCACCTGTTGAACCACGTGCACGTGTTTTGGTTGGATCCGGCGTTTCAATCTAAGAGACAAAACCGGAAGGCCCCCGATTTTCCTCCGAGTCCTTGGAAGAAGGCGATGGTTTCAAGCAGGCCTGAGCTTACCACTCATAGTCAGCCATAGGTGACCTTTTGGAAAAACGGATGGCGCTGGTCAATGGAATAAAACCAATCCAAACCAGTAGAACCCATCTATTTCCAGCCAACCCAAGTCCCAAGTAACCAACAACAGGACCCCTGTGCTGTCGGCCGTACCCATTTATGCCTGGGACTGGTTTGGAGCCAGTGGCTCAAATTTTGCTGGGTCCTCCAGTAGAGAGGTTAGAATAAGGGTACCAACTTTTTTCTGTAGTCTATTTTCAGTTTGACCCAGGATTGATAAACCCGCTCCATTAAGCGGGTGCTCCCTCCAAAAGTGGTCTGAATCCACACAAAAAGGCGGCACCCCCCCGATCAAAATCAACCAGGGATTTATGAATCTGGGGTTAACATTAGTAGGGGAACCCTCCCAACCAAAAAAGGGGTTACTCAGACGCCCGGTGGCCATGAGAAAAAGAGGGCACCCTTTTTTGGTTGAACCCTCCCAACCAAAAGAAACGGTAAAAGGGCACCTAGCTGGTGCCCCTGATCTGCCGCCCCAGGCGCCAGGATGGAGTTCATCCGCTGGTACGCCGCTGACGCCGACCTCGCCCGCGCCGCGCGCGCGGGCTCGCTGCGCAGCTCGTGCCGCGCCGGGCCCTCGGCTGGGCTTGAAGGGTCCACTTGGGGGGCTACCCTCCCACCAACATGGAAGCGCCAAAGTCCCCTTCCAGGAGGAAAGTAGTCTTCAGAGGTCTATGCACCAACCCATGTTGGCTGGTGGAGGGCACTTCTTTTTGAAGCACAAGGCGGGGCAAACCAAGCTGGCCCAATACATTGGCTTTGGTTGTGGCACAATCTGGGAAGTGGCAGCCACCACAAGTAACCACTTACTTGTGCAGGGTTGGCTTGGTTTTTGGCAGCAAGTGGCAGCCACCACTTACTTCTGCAGGGTTGGCTTGGCTATGATGGCAAGAAATGGCAGCCAACACAGGTAACCATTTACTTCTGCAAGGTTTTCTTGGTTATGATCTGGCAGGAAGTGGCAGCCACCACAAGTAACCATTTACTTCTGCAGGGTTGGCTTTAGAGGAGGCAACAAACCTGCCACCTGCCGATTGCTGAAGCTGGCAACATTGGGATTCAACTGGGCAACCGTGGGAAAGCATGAAAGCCTAAAAACGAGAATACCTACCTGGTTGCCCACTTGTGAACTTGAGGCACCGGGTTTGTTGCCACCCTTTCGCACCAAGAGGAATCCTTCACATTCCTTTTTCGTTTTGAAGGAGGCCCTTCAGTTGTTTTGCAGTTGTGTTTGAAGTGGGCATGTATCTTTACAGCCAAGCACAAAGAATTCGTGCACCCTCAATAAATGCTTGAACCTGGTCCAACCTAATAAAGGGGTTGGTTCTCTCAAAAACAACTCACATTGGTTGCTCCCAAAAATCTGCGTTGAAGGCTAGGTTGTCGCTTCCGGCCCAACACGTGTGACCCATGCATGTCCCCTCATGTGTCGTACTGTGGCTGTTGGTTGGGTGTCAACTAGTTGTTCCTCACTGAGCCGTGGTTACCACGAGCACTGACATTTGATGGGGACCCAACCACATCCCACTCGGAGCACAGACCGCTGGAGTCAAGGGCAATGTGTGCTTTGGCCAACAACTGGCAATAGAAGCTTTGTTTGCCTCCGGGGCTTGCCGTTGCATCCCAAAACCACGCAAACCTCCAGTGGCAAACAAGAAGGCTTTCCAGGGAGGTCTGGGTTGCTCACCCTTTGCTCGCGCCATGTGTCCACCCCCTTGCAAACCATCTGGGTGGCTCGTTCTTTTCTGTTCTACATGGCACCTCTTGCGGCATTTGTATTGAAACCAGCAGGAAAACCGAAGCCATTTCTTGGGGTCCCCCAAAGAAAGATACACAAGGCTTGAAAGCAGGGAACCCCAAGTACAGAATCTTCATCACGGTGAGCTCTATTTGCCCCCAAAACCAGTGATCTCGCTCAACACCCATTCACATTGGGATCTACCTGCATGGTTGTAAGTGTTGTTTTTGATAGCCTCTTCCGGCGCAAGTGGGACTACTAGAAGTGGGATAGTCCACGTATGTCACTTCCTGAGTGGATGGCTCAAACAAAATACGAACTGCGCACCACTAAAGGGCCTTCCCAAAAAGTATGGGACCTGTCCGGCTTCCAATCTGTAGGGATTTTCTGAAATGCCAAAGTTTCTGCAAAATCCTTGTCCCAAACCGGGGAAAACAAAAAAACAGTGTTCAGACGCTGCTTCGTTTCTGGTCTGAACATACTGTGGATGAATGAAATACGGCAAGACGTTGAAACCATGGGAAATCAACCAATGTTTGGTTGGCGCGTACAGGAAATTCATCCTCCCAGGCTTTGCTAGGTGGTGCGAAGTGGATTTTGTCCATCCACAGTATGGCAACATGAGGAGACCCCAGAAAAATGGAAAGCTCCTCGACCCCAGTCCCCGAGCGGCCTCCTCATCCGAGCTCTCAGGGCTCTCGCGCGCCAAGGGCATCTGGGCTGAATGGCGTGGGGTCTTTTGGTACCAAAGAAATGGTTGGCGCCCTGTTGGTTTTATTCAAGTGCCTGAAAAACGGTTGAGCGTTGTTTTTTTTTGGGTGTTGTTTATTTACGTCCAAAGGCGGTTGGCTTCCTGGCGGCATCTTTCCCCCCAAAAAACGGGTCTTGCCCCAACCAAGCCCCTGCCTTTTTTGGCTCTTTGGGCGTGATGTCCCCTTTGAGATGCCATTGCGGTCTCCTACACAGCCCCCTTTCAGTCCTTCCAGGCTTCCGGTGACCAGGAGAGATTCGGCTGCCGCCCCCCCAAAAGGAATGGGGGGGGTCAAAAAATGGTGTCCCTTTCATTTGGCTGCAATCATAAGTAGCCCGTTTGAACCTTTCGAAGTGTACAGTTTCCTTTCAGAGGCTGCCAGTTGCAACAAAATCGTACCCCAGACTTCCAGTGGGTGGCCATCCTTTTTTTTTGAGGGATAAAAGAAGGGGCCCTTTTTGTCGCTTTTGGGTCACCTTCTGTTTCCCCCAATGTTGACCTCTCCTGCAAAAATTGCACTTCTTCGAGCATCATGGGGCTGAGGTTGAAATGCGCCCTGGATCATCACTTTTCCGACTATCAGGGGGGGCGGAAGCCCCAGCGCCATTTCCCCCCCAACCTGCCCGCTGCTTTTTTAGATTTCTTGCAGAGATTCAAACGCGCCACGAATTGATTCATCACTTCTTCGAAGATCAACTTTTTGAAGATGAACAGGCACCCCTGATTGAATCATATGGGGCTGCCGCCCCCCCTCCCCAACCCCAGCCCCCGCTACATTATTTTTTGCAGCCTAATTGAGTCATCCACCCCCAACCCCCCCGCTACTGTTGAGATTTCTTACAGAGCTTGAAATTTGCTCAATGTTATGTATGTATGTATGTATGTATGTTTGTACGTGTGCGCTTCTTCGAACATCATGGGGGAGAGAAGAACAAACTCACCTTAACGTTTAGGATCTTTCCTTGGAAATGTCGATTCGCCGTGCGCGGCCCAAAAACACAAGAACGCGCGCACATCGCAAGGCGAGAGCAAGAAAGAACAATAAAGAGCACAGAGCGTGCGGAAACGAATACGAGACTGCCTGCTTTCGCAATCGCGGCTTTGCGGGCTCGATTCCCCCCTGGTCCGCGCCAGCTCCGGCTCAAGAATAATTAACAATTCTCAAGTACCAAAGTATGGTACGGAAACTGTGCTCCCGCAGCTCCGGCTGAACTCGCAAGTTTCAAGTATACACAAGCAGCACGCGAAGAGCGTTGCAGCTCAGGATTGAAAATCGTATTTTTTTTAGTACAACAGTAGTGCGCAAAGTACATTCCCGTGGCTCTGGCTCACGTAAAGCACTTTTTGCGTACAAAAATGGTGCGCGAAGAAAATTCCCGCAGTTCTGGCTGCAAAATCGAAACTTTTGAGTACAACAGTAGTACACGAAGCGCACTCCCGCAGCTCCCGCTGCACAATCGCACCTTTTACGTACAAAAGTAGTGCGCGAAGCGCGCAAATTCGCAACTCCTAAGTACAAAAGTGGTACACCGAAGTGCATTTCCGCAGCTTTGGCTGAGGCTTGGGCAGGGACATTGCCGTCTTTGTTTCTCATGAGGTGGGGGAGGCGTCAGAGTTGATTTAACGTGTTGCTTTGCTTCCGGGCCACCCGTCGTCTAGTTTCGTTCATCAGGAGGGGGCTGCCGCCCCCCCAACTCCCCCACTACTTTTCAGATTTCTTTCAGAGATTAAGACGCACACCTTTTTACCTTTTTGAATCATCGCTTTTCAATCTTCCCTACTTTTCAGTTATTCGCACAGACATACAGACATACATTCATACATACCTACCTACCTACCTACCTAACTATATAGCTAAATAGCTACATACCGCATACATACACAACGATAAACATAAGTATAGACGGCAGTCCCCCCCATGATGGCCGAAAAAGTGAGAATTCACAAAGGGGTGAATCCCATCTTCCTGTGAAACATCTAAAAAGTAGCGGGCGGGTTGGGGGGGGGGGCAGCCCTCCCCCATGATGTTTGCAGATCTGAAGAGTCAAAAGGGATGCATTTTAATCTCTGCAAAAAAAAACACAAAAAACTCCCAAGTAGGGTCGAATTTCAAGCTCTGCAACAAATCTCCACAGCAGCGGGGGGGTTGGGGGGGCTGCCGCCCCCCCCCCAAGATGATTCAATTAGGGGTGCATATTCAGGGGTGCATATTAAGGGGTGCATATTATTAAGGGGTGCATTTGAATCTCTGCAAGAATTCTAACAAAGTAGGGGGGTTGGGGGGTCCAAAGAAAAGCTCAAAAAAAAGTGGGGGGGGGGGTGTGGGGTCAAAACAAAGTGGGGGGGTCAAGAAACAGGAGACACAAAAAAAAAGCCCTGGTCAAAAGCTCCAGCTTTGGACTTCTAACCAATGACCCCGCCGTCGAACTTGAGATCGGGGCCAAGCTCCACTGGAAGTCTTTGGCCTGGGGCGAGACCCGACGTGTTGAACTCGCAACGCTTCGGATCGCTCTTAGCTCCAGCAGCAGAGGTTAGAATAAGGGTACCAACTTGTTTTTTCCCGTAGTCTATTTTAGTAGGGGAAGCCTCCCCCAAAAAGGGTAAAAAGGCACTACTGGGGGACCGAGGCTCCATTTGGGTGTCTCTTGTTTGAGGGCACGAGGTCCTTGTTTGTGGCTCTTAAAGAGAAAAGAAGGACACCCACCAGTTAAAGAGGGTCCCTTGCTGTCAAGTCGACCATACAAAAGGTGGAGAACAGAAGCCTCTGATGGCATTTTATGCACATTTACTTGTTCATCCATGTGTTGTCTATTCTTCATTTCTAGAAATATTCTTTCATTAATTTCTGTGTTTCTTGTGTATTCACTTTTGATTTATACATCTATTATTTATTGCTTGTATTCATTTACCTATTCAATGGTTTATTCGGAATCTGATTGATTGATCTATGAATCTGTAGTTCCTCACTTGACCAGAAATAAGGAAGACCCCCCCAAGTCAGGTGAGCATGATGGAACATGAGGTGAGACGGTTGTCCTCCCAGATATTGTCCCCAACCTCCCGCATTGGGGATACTCCACTGGATAAGGGAAACACCACGAATCGGCGCTCTTGTTGGTGGATGTTTTCTTGGGCTCTCCAACTTGGCAATTGGAGGGGCACTCCTTTCTTGGGTATGGTTGGTTGTAAAGGGCTTCCCCCCTTCAAAAAGGTCTAACAAGGGAAGCGCCACAGGCTGGAGCTTTCTTGTGTGGTTGGTTTTAGAAGGCTGTCCCCCATCCAACGAAAAGCGGAAAAAGCAAGGACACTTGCTGCAGGAAATGACCAGGGTGCGGGGACCCACCCGGAACCAGAAGAGGATTCCCTTAAAGGAAACCACCAGTTGGATAGTTTATAGGGGTCATTCCTTGTCTCATTCCCTGCCTATCGAACCAGCAAGGAACTTGCCACCCACCAGACGTTGGCATTCGCCCAGTGGCGGAGCCCAGAGGCACGGAGGTCCACTCCACATCCTGGCGGATCGCGCGCACGTCCTCTCGCGCCCGACATGGATTGCCCCGCAAGGAAACCCCAAAAAAGATACCCTGCGGCGGGGAGGGGGGGGAACATATGGGTGTGGCCTGTTAGGGCCTCCCCAGAAAAAAAGTTGAGAAAGAAAGGCTCTGCCGCTGAGCGAAATCGCAGAAATGACGGGTGCATGAATGGCTAAGAAAGGAGGAACCCAAAAATGACCTAGCCTAGCACGTTTGGATTCCTTCCAAACCATTCAAGGGAGCAGCCCTAATTTCCCAGACCTCAAGTTATCAGAACACCGGGGGCCCTTTTTGTTGGTTGATTTTGAAGACCGCTCTCAAAGGGGGAAAGAGACCACCGCTGGAGGTCTGGTAAGCTTTGAGCCTATGTCAGCGGCATGCTTTCACAGTAAGGCCTCACAAAAGATAGCCCAGCTTGGAGCCTGTGCAACTTGTCCTGTTTTTGGTGGACGATGCATTGTATATCGATTATAATTTGCAGAAGCACGTGCAGAATGTTTGGTTTCCTGTTGGCTGGAGAACAAAGGGCCATTTCAAGTCTTAAAAGGACCACACGACCACCCGGGCGCTCGTATGGTTACATGAACTGGTTTCATTTTATCATGTCGGGTTCCTTGAAACGGTGAGAAGGCCTTGAAAAATAAACATTTGGTGAGAGCCATGGGTAAACCAGTGGGCCTAAAAGGACCTCAAGCGAGCCTGTTGGGGGCTGATGCCAGAGGAAGCTTTTCATGGGAGACTCTCAGAATGGTTTTGCCCCCCTTTGGCAAAAGAAAGGGAGCCAAGCATGTGAGAAGACCCTTATTTCGAGAAACCTGCATAGAGCCCTGTACATAGCAGCCTTCAATCACGTGAACAAGCTCAATGGTTGGGACATCTAAGGGGCCGTCAACCATGGTGGCACTGGTGGTTCGAGGAAATCCGCACAAAATTTGACGAACCACTGAGTTTCGCTGAGACAACTCTATATTTGTACAATGGTGCTATTTAACCAGCCCACGCAGCATTTTTTGGTCCAGAATTGGCGCCCTAGTGATTTTGTTGGCGGCGGCGGTGGCGGTGTCCTACAAATGCTTTGGTGTTGTGCTGGCAGTGTCGCTCTAGTGCCTCGGTGCTGTTTCGGCGCCAGCCAAGGGGTCTCGGGTTGAAGCAGCACGACCTACTGGTACTGTGGATGGACCGGGCTGGAGTGATGAAAAAGCAGGATGAGGTCGGGGCAGTGGGTGCTGCGCAGAGGATTTCAGGATAGCCTAGCAGAGCCAAGCTTCAGCTTGCAGCTCCTGAGTTAGCTTTGCACGCATCCTCAATATCCGACGGCTTTGTCACCTTCGCTCCAAAAAGCTTAGGCTGCGAGAGTCAGAGTCCTTCGAATTTAACCACACCTAGGTACATGACGACATCCTGGGCTTTGCGGGGAGGGTCAACTCTCAGAACCCCTCAAATTGCTCAACGAAACGGAACCGCTTGGCCTTGTGTCGGGCGCTGTCCAGGGTGGTGTTCCAGTTGATGTCTTGGGCTGGTGTGTTTTAGCCGTGTCGGACCGGTCAACGATTCAGTGGCGTCTTGGCGGTGTCCCACTTGGAGTCCCTGCTTAGTTCCAGAGTGGTGTCTTGGGGGGTGTTCTTGTGGCGGTCCGGCAATGCTCCTGCCGTGTTTCTACTGTTGCGGTGGTGTCTTAGTGCTCTGCTGGTTTCCGAGTCGTGCCCCGGCGGTGTTCCCTCGCGGTGTTCTGCAGTGTCGCGGCGGTCCACTCAGTGGTGTCTTTGCTCTGTCTGTGTCCCGGCGTTGGTCTTTGACGTAATTACCGATGCCGTCGCGTTGCCTGTGTCCAGGCAATGTTCCGGCTGTTCCCAGTCTCGGTGTTTTTGCTTTCCGCGCCAGAGGTGTTCTGGTTCCAGTATGTTGCGAGTTGATGTCCTGGCCAGTCTTCCAGTTGCACTGGAACTTCTGACGCCTAAGAGCGCTCTGCTGGTGTGCCAGTTTCTGTACCGCCGGTGTTCCAGTGCCGCGCCAGTTTGCCGTTCCAGTAATGTCCCGCCAAAAGTGTCTATTACTCACAATACGCCTTGCAACAAAGACTACCGGCGTTGGGAGAGAGGCTATTGCTATTGAGCTCTGTCGCTGGGTGGTTCTTTGGCAACCTTTGCAATGATTGTTGACATTCCCCTGAAGGGGTTAAAAACCATCCAAACTTACCCTAAGTCACGGGCTGCTTCGACCATGTGGAGAACAAACGACTTGGTCCAAATAGGCGTCAACTGGAAACACACGCACATCAACAACGGGGCCCTCAGTTTTGGGACCCCCGAAGGTCCAGCAGCAATAGACAAAGGATCGGAGCCCTTTTGGGGGTCCGCTTTACAAACCCAACAAAGGAACTTACTTCGAACAAGTCACCTTGGGGAGAATGCTTGGAATGGTATCAAACAGAGAGCCCAACGATTTTTCATTGGTACCCCCTTTTGATTGGGTTTATATACAGGCAAATCACAGGGAACACCACCATTTTGGGTCCCGGAATAAAGACACCCCCATTTGGATTGAAGCTGACCTTCCCACTCGGTCTTCATCTGAGTAAATGGCACAATGGAGGTGCTAGCCCAAACGTCAACAATAACCAGTCGGTCAGGGCCGACTTTTGTCCAATGTCCTGTTGGGGAAACAAGATGTGTCGCTCAAAGCATCTCCAATGGCTGCTGCTGGTAATGGTTCACAGGGCAACTACTTTGAACCCACCTCCAAAAGGGCACCAACTCAGGAGAAAAGATGGCGCCCAACCCGGGCTCCCTGTATTGCCCCCTTTGCACATCACCCAAGCAAAAGGAAAAACTGCTTCCCCCGACTCCGGTCACTTCGGAGCGCTTCTCCGCAAAAGATCGAGAACCCGGACCGAACATAGGAGCTCTGTTGAGGGGACCCATTTGGCTGTGGGTCAAAAATAGGTACCCGAAATGGAATCCTGGTAAATGCAAATATGGACGAACACCTGCGGGTCCCTGGTGGCTCAATTTTGACCCACACCCATTTTGGCTCAGCTGTGTTTGTTTCCAGGCAGCTGCCATGGACGTCTTGAGAGCCGAGGCGACCAAAGCGCTTGCGCTTCCGACCAACGCGCCTCGGAGTTCAGGAGAGCTTTGGCCAGCCAATGGGAGGGCGTCATAGTGCCAGCCTCAGCCTGAGCCAGGGGCAGACTCATTCGGAGACGCATTGGTGAAAAACCTCGTTGAAACGGAAAAGGTCCTAGGTCCTCCAGCAGCAGAGGTTAGAATAAGGGTACCCGACTTTTGTTCTGTATATTTTAGTAGGGGAACCCTCCCCCAACAAACGGTAAAAGGGCACTACTGGGGGACCTACGGTCAAAGGGTCGAGCTAAGGGCAAGCGAGTGAAGGCTCAGGGCCGCTCGATAAGAATAGGGCTTTCGGGTACCTTCGAGACCAACTTTAATCAGAATCATCTACAATTTTGCAGACACCTATTCTTGGCGGAGTTCCATGTGAAACAAGGATCGGCCTTCTTGTTGGTTGATGTTTCAGTGGGCCTCCAAGAAAAGAAAAAGGGAAGCAACCTGCTGGAGGTCTGGGCACTTTTTGGAAACCTCTGGAAAGGATCTACGGGGAAGAAGCAAAACATATGCTTTCCAACCCTTATGGTAGAACAAACAACTCGGTGTGTGTGTTTTTTGCAGGCCCCCGACTAAAAAGGGGAACAGAAGCCAAAAACAACTAGAGAGACATGCCAACAACAGCAAAGGGCATATCATCCACACCTCTTGCGTGGCTGAAGTGACAGCCTCCGCCACGGCTGGGACTTCTGCCTAATTACTCCTGGCACAACACCTGGCCTGAGTGAACCCAAAACGCCACTGGTTTCAAGAATCTCCTTTCGGCCCCTTCTTCAGTTCCGTGTTCCTCAAAGGTTGCTTCGGGAGTCCGAGCGAGACACCTGTGCACTGGAGGTAAGGGGAGAACAGCAACGGAAACAACGACAGAACAGCACCAAACAGCAACAACGGCAACAGCGCCAAAGGCGCAACAGCAACCAAAGGAAGCACAAAACAGGGAAGAGCTGCAAAAGGGCAAGGCATGTTGATCTTGGTTGCCGGGGCACTTGTGTCAAACGCGGGAAACGCTGGGAAACCAAAGGAACCAACTCCTCCCCCCCTTCACATTTTCCGGGGTACGGGGGATTGGGGGATTTCGAACATCCGCGTCCTGTAAACCTGCGCTGCGCGATTTTACCCAGAGTTCAAAAGGTCGGTTTGCTTTCCGCCTGGCTGGCGGCGGTGCTTTACAATGGCGTCCTTTGGTGACGAAATCGCCTAGTTGCCAACAGGCAGCCCCCGGAAGCAAAGCAACAAATGCAACGGACTGAATCATACACGACCCAAAATGAGGGTGCCCCAGAAATGGTTGCTGTTGGAACTTCCGTTCAAACCAGCCCAAAGAGATTTTCCCTCAAAAAAAAAGGCGGTTGCCCATTCAGGCCCTTACCCTCCATTTACTTCAGTCCCCTGGAAAAATGTTTGAAAACACAGTACCAATATGCGAGAATCAAACAACACAGTCTAACCAGCACCCCCCCCCCCAATCGCTTCTCGGACTGCACTTTGGGATTTTTTGCACGTGCTGAAGCCCTCTCCCCGAGACAAGGGGCCATGATGGGCCTGGCCAACTCCATCTCGCTGAGCCCCTGAGGCCCAAGAGGAGTTTTGTTTTTCCAAGCTCCTCCATTTTGGTGGCCACTCGTTGTGCTTTTGGATCACCCCGTTGCCAGCCAAAAACTGGTACCCTCAAAAACCAACCCAAAAAAGTAGCGCCCTCAAAAGGAGGGGAACCTGACCCAGCAGCCCTGGAAGATGTTTTTCTTCAAAACAAATGACTGGTGAGTTCCATAAAGGCTTCGGCGGGGGGGGTCTAGCCTAGCCTCGAAGTCCCAGAACATCTGTGCGTCAAAAACATCTGTTTTCAGGGTGATTCAGGGGGAACCATAGCCGAGGGAACCATTTTTTGTGTATGTGTGTCAATTGGGGGGGGGGGGGGGGGCCTGAAAACAGTTGGTTTCCGTTGGGCCCAGAACACCCACCTTCTGGGGCCCCTAGTACGGGAAAACGGCACCTAACCGGCGGGTGAGGAAACCATTTTTGAGGTGGCTCACAAAGAGAACCATGGTTTCCATCAAGAATCCCCCCAACTGAAAACAAGGGAAGTCAAAAACCCCGCCAGAAATGCCCAAAACCCCTTTCCGCGACATGCGTGAGATATCCGGTACTCGAATCCAATCAGCGTGTGGCATTCCTTATGCGACCCGATCGCCCTATCGGCGACTTTCCAAGGGCTTGAACTTTCAAAGCAAGAACGAAAACGCTGCCAATTTAGCACCCATCTGCCCA